TTTTTTTTTCCAAGACAGGTTTTCTCTGTGTAGCTTTGTAGACCAGGCTGGCCTCGAACTCACAAAGATCTTCCTCTGCCTTCTGAGTGCTGGGACTAAAGGCATGCTCCACCATCTCCCAGCTCAACTACTTTCTAATACCAGAAAAGCAAATTCCTATGGCACCTGTAAAGTGTTATAACTCAGTCACTGGCAAGAGGTATGTTTTATCTAAGGGACTCAGCTCCTGTCATTCCATTGTCACTGATTACTCTTCACATCAAGGCTTTTGATTTTTTAAAAATAAGGAAACAATTGCCAAGCTTAGTGTCAACAGAACTTAAGTTATTAACAAAATACGCTAAATGGAATTAATTTATAATAACTCCAGACAATAGAAATACAGAATAGAACTGAACTACTTAAGACTAGCTCTGGTGATGAATGGAAGACTATCAAAGACAAGTGCACAAAACCAAGGATTAGCTAGTGCAGCAATTGTTTTTTAAGGGTTTGCTGCTTTTATCTACCCTGGAGTCTGCAAAGCCCCTAGGTGCTCAATACAGTGTTTACTCATATCTTATATACTTGTAAAAATTACCCAGGAAACAGCCCCAACACTGTCTAAGTGAGGGAAAGGCTTGTTCAAGAAGGGCCAAAAAACAGTACATGAAGTTCTGAATCCTGACGACTATGGGTATATATGGGGACTGACAAAGTGGTATGGACTTGGTTGTTTTCTAAGAATGACAGGGCTCTTGCCAACTGTCACTGAGCTGCCACAGAAAGGCAGATGGAGGGGTAGATTCTCCTTGTCCTCCGTCTACCCCCAGGACAGCTCTGAAACCACACTTCACACCATCATGAGAGCTTGATGGTATGCCTATAGTACAATTACCTGTTACTTAAAAGACAATGGATTATCCAATAGGAAAAGTATTGATTTGTTTTGTTTTGCTGAAGAAAATCCTTTTGCGATGCAGCTTTCTCTCCCACAGTCCCCAGTACCCTTTGTTTTCAACTTGGGCCCTACAAAATGGCTCCCACAAAGGGGTGGAAAGAAGGGACTTTGCCATCAACAAGAATAAACCATTAGGGCTGGAGAGATGGCTCAGGGGTTAAGAACAGTGGATGCTCTTCAGGAGAAAATGGGTTCATTTCCCAGCACCCACACTGCAGCTCACAACTGTAATTCTGTGTCTGTAATTCCAGTTCTAGGGGATCTGACAGACACCCATGCAGTGAGTGGGCCGCATGAAGCTAGAGCAGTCAAATTACAGGTAAGTGTCTGCCATGAAGGAGGAGCAGTCAAAGACAGACAGGTACATGCCATGAAGGAGATGCATTCCGGACGTGAGCTCTGATAGGAGCTCACCAAAGCCGTCTGGGACAGAGGAATGAAGTTCTGTATCATATCTGTATGTCTATCCACAACATGTAACAAGGATGCAGGCTCATCAGACAAGCTCCCCACTGTGGTGACCTATTCCTGCTACCAGTCAATCTCTACAGAAAAATGTGCATGAGAACTAAGCACTAAGAACATAAGAACTAAGAGTGTCAGATAGGGCGGTAAGACTGCTCTAAATGACCTTTTATAGGCAAATTGCTAAAATGCTCTCATTCTGAAGAATCAGACCACAATTTCCTATTCTCTTGAAAGTGCTTATTAAATGATTTATTGAACCTGATTTGTGTTGGAAGAAAAATTATTAAAAACTAAGAAACAAAAAACAACTGTCAGAAATCCTTCATGTCAACTGTAAATTACTGATTCTTTTATTTTTTCCATAACAAAGAGTGGGAGAGTGTTCGCATAGGAAAACCAGTAATTACTCCTACTCCTGAAAAGGTTTCCTTATACAAGCACGGACATCCTGACTCCCCACACGCAGTGCTCCAGTCCTTAGGACTCCAGCCATTACTCTATGTTTTAGAAGCTCATTTTAGAGCACATTCTGTGTTCCAACTCACCATTTGGAGACAAAGTCACTGCAGGCATTGAGTGCATACTGGGTTCTGCTATGTACTTAAAATCCACAGGGATATCCCTAAAAGTTGAATATAGCATACATATTAGAATGAGGAATTCACAAAAGCACATTTGGAAGAATTATCCAAATAAAAGCAACTTGCTTTTCATTAAACTTCCAGGATGCAGTTTATTACTAAAAAGCTTTTATTTTACAAATGACTTTCCATGAAAATTGTAAAGGTGTCAGTAGTTCTAGTTTCTAGTTCTGAGACTTAACTTTGGCCCTTATATTACTAAATGTCCTTTAATGATGAACTCATTTTAAAAGATGCCATGGGAGGCAGCAGAAGATGTCTGGGCAAACCTGTGAGGAAGGTTATTTACCTGCTATCCAACCTCACCTGAGTACCTCATGAGCAGGGGGGAGTGTTACGGTGCCCTTAGCACTGCGTGTGGATGACAGGCAGAGCTGCAGGATCTGTGCATTAGTTTCGTCTACCCAGAAATAATGATCCAGGCCACAGAGATTATGTGCTTGGTACCAAGCATCTTTTCAATTTGCATGTAAAGCATTTCCAAAGTGTATAGTACAGGAAAAAAAGCAAACTACAGAACAGCAAAAACCTCATGTGATAAAAATGCCTAAATATGTAACAAAATTCAGAAGTATTCACTTAAATTGAGAACCAAATGTACCAAGTACCTTTTCATTTTCATTATTTTTTTTAATAATTTGGAAATTTTGAAAGGGGTTTTGATATTGTTGCTTCCTCTGGTACAAAAAGTGTTTGTGTGGAGTAATGTGTAGGAAATGTAATCCAGTGAAGAGTGACTTCAATCTGTAGGTATGATTTGAGTTTCAATACTTTGCTTAACTGGAAAATCATGTACAGATTTTTCTGTCATTTACTCATCATTCAGAGGGAACAGATGGCTAGAGGAAAAGACCTCTGCTGTGACCAGAAAAGTGATGCTCTTTAGTGCCCAGGGCTCATGTTTCTAAGCACAATGAGAAGCGACTTTCAGAACAATCCAAGTCTTTAAAAAAGATTCATGTCCTCCCCTTTGAATTTATCACTAGGAGGCAGTGAATTTTTTAACATGGATGAAGCAAGAGCATGTTCTAAATCAACCAACCACATTTGCGGGTCACATCTTTAGTAAACAAAGCAACAGGAGTCTTGGTACAATTAACTCTAGAACAGTGTCTAGTGACCCTTCCACAAGGGTTTCATGGCTCTCTATGGGTCTACAGTGTTGAGTGACCATTCCACAGGGGTTGCACATCAGATATTCTCCAATCAGATATTTACATTATGATTCATATTAGCAAAAATTATAGTTATGAAGTACCAACAAAATTATTTTATTGTTAAGTATAGCATGACAAGAGTCATGCTATATTAAAGGGTCACAGCATTAGGAAGGTTGAGAACCACTGTTCTAGAACAAGAACTGAATCTGAACTACCCTTGGAATTTCATTATTTCTGGCAAAAATGCCTGCTAGACATAGTTAAATGTCATAAACACAGCACCAATTTTCTACTTAGATACTGTGATTCAATTATCAGAAGGTTGGAACTGATTTCAGATCATCTGGTTTGGAAATGAACTTATCAGAAAGCTAACAAGTCTGTGGCATTTTAAACATAAAAGATAAACAGCAATGTTTATTCATTTCTATAAAATTTCCTTTAAGAAATATTTTACCAAAATAAATACAAATAAAAATAAAGTAAAAACAAAATCCCCATGCCTACTGACATGCTTTTAGCTGATTAGAAGGCCACGGCTGCTAGTATCTATCATAACCTCCAATTCTCCTTCTCAGTTTTGCTATAGTATTTGCTTGTATAGCACTGTTAAAGAAAGCCTAGCTTCCTTTGGTTGTTGCCTTTTAAGTATTTATTTTTATGTGTATGGGTATCTTGTTTGCATGCATGTGTGTGCTTGGTGCCTGTGGAAGACAGAAGAGGGCATCTGATCCCCTGGTATTAGAGTTAGGTAGACTGCTTTGAGCTGTAATGTGGGGGGTGGGAATTGAACCTGGAAGAGCAGCTGGTGCTCTTAACCATCGAACCAAGTGGTCCTTTTCCTCTATTATGGTGCTACAATGAGGTAGAGGACATATAAGTTTGGAAAAACACATCTTGCATAAAAGTCTAATTGCTGGGAACTTCCTGCACTTGGGCTCACTCTTGCTGTAAGCTTAGCCTCCCCCTCCCCACCTCCACTAGTGCCAGAATCACCAGTAATTACTCTCAGCAGAGACTGCAGGAGATCCTGAGGGTCCGAGCTATTTGCTTCCTGCTCAGCAGATGCAAGTTACTTTCTCTCGCTACAAGTCTTCCCAGTCACCCAACCAGCCACAGAACCACAAACCCAAGTTCTGGAATCAGTGTGACATGCAGTTTTTCATATACATACATACATACATACATACATACATACATACATACATACATACATACATGTATATGTTTCCCTAGGCAGATCACTTAAACTATCTTAGTTTCCTTATATAGCAAAGACAGAAAGACCCATCCCCATGTAAATATACCTATCTCATGAGACTGCTTTGCACATAAAATCAAAGTTTATATAAAATGCTTACCCTAGTGACTGACACATATAAAGTACTGGCTCCCCACCTGTATCATCACAAATGATAGACCATCTGATAACAGGTGACAGTCAAACAGATCTGCAGCATGTCATCATTTGTAACCAAAGAGCATTGGGCCTTTTAGGAGTGTTTCTTAGGATCCGAGAGGCAAACAAGGGTGCTAACATTGCCACCTTAAGTTAATCAAAGCATTGAGGAAATACAAGTGTACAAAGCCCTTTAACTGGTACAGCATCTCAGTATTAACTACCTTCTTACACCACAATACTTTCAATGATGGAGCTGGAACAGCAACTCAAGATATAAACATCTGAATGTTTAAGTAAAATCAAACCACCCCCCCCACACACACACATAACATTGATATCAGGCTGGGGAGATGGTTCGGTGGCTAAGAGTGCTTGCTGTGCAAGTGTGAGGATCTGGGTTCAAATCCTCAGCACCCATATATGACTGTGAGATAAAGGAAGACACCTACGCACTTGTTTGGCCTCTGCACATATGCGGATGGGATGTGCACACGCCCACAAGTACGCACATACCATGAGCATACACCCAAAATCAAGCTAAACCATCCAAACGAAAACACTAGTGCTCACATCAGATTTTCTGTGGAAAATAGCCAGCTTCCTTCCTTCCTTCCTTCCTTCCTTCCTTCCTTCCTTCCCCCCTTCCTCCCTCCCTCCCTCCCTCCCTCCCTCCCCCCCTCCCTCCTTCCCCCTTCTTGCTTTGCAGTGGGCCTTGCACATGCTATGTAGGCCAGCACTCCCTCACTTAGAGCTAAATCCCTAAGAAGCACTGTTTCTCAAGACTAATCTTAGTTTCAAACCAAGACCCATAAGGATGAAGCTAAATGTTAAGGCTAGATACAAAGTGCAGTCAATGTCAATGGGGATAGTCTTGAAGGTTACAGTGTTGGTGTACAAGTTGCATTAAATCTAAAATTACCTCAATTGTCTTAACACCCTGAGGGCCTACCCAGCCTACTCAACTCTCCATAGGAGTCAATCTGAGGAGAAAACCCCGGCTTTGGTTCAAGGCTGCTTGCTTTCTCTTAAATTACAACTTGTAGGGGTGGGTGGGAAGGTGCACTCTGGAGTCCTTGCAAGGTTGTGTGGTCTCCACTGAGCTCTGCTTTGTGACTATAAAAACAAGCTGGATTCTATCCAAGCTCTGATTTTAGTAAGAAAGATTACCACTTATTTATTTGCAACTAAATCATAAGACAATCATGACACTTAATGAAACCAGTTTAAGTATTTTTTTTTTTACTTTAGAAAAACTTTTTTTGATATAAGGAAAAAGTATTCAATATAACTGATTATAGTCAACAAGCAAAATGCTTGTTTAAAGCTGGTGCTATGGGACAACTCACAGCACGAATGATTACAAAGCAGGCATTAAGAAAATTAAAAGCTAACTACGTTGGGATGTTCTTTGGATTTGTTCTGAGGTCAGGATGTTTGTGTGACCCTCACATAATGAAATGTAGCCAAACATTCTACACTTTGCCATTTTACAAAGATGAATAAGCTATTTAGTAAAGAATGTGAGAAGGGCTGGCAAGATGACCTAGTGGGTAGAGGGGCTGTATGCACCCCGTGTTTGATCTTTAGACCCACCTGTGAAGAGGCCCTGGCTCCTTAGGGTTGTCCCTGATCTCCACATGTATGCAGTAAACACAAGCCAACACACACACACACACACACACACACACACACACACACACCTAGTAACACAGAAAAGAGAATGCATGATACCATAATATCATAATATGACAGTTATCATGACCACAAAACAAGCAGTTAAAATCCATGTACTTTGGAGGGGTCTCCAGAGATTGTGAAGAATAGCATGTTTAGATTTCAATTTCCAAATGAAAATACTTGGGCTAGAAAAATATGCAAATAGATGTTATCAGGCTTTGACTTTGATTATAATTTTTATCTATTTATTTATTTGCTTTATAAAAGTCAGACATTTTACTGATGAACACTCACCATTCCCAAACTCGTAGGCTCTTATCATCAGACGTACTCACAAACCGTCGATTCTCATCCACAAAAACAATGGTGTTGACAGCTCCCAAATGCCGATCGTATTCCTGAACAATCTCTCCACTGCGAATGTCCCACTGTGCAGCAACAAGAGGGAAGGTATAGATGAGGTGGGACTCACAAGCAGCAGACTACACTTTGGAACCTAAGATTCCTAGTATCCCAAGCTCATCAACAACGAAGTGATGCTCTGTTCTCCTTACAACCCTAACAGACACCCTGAAAAAGGCTCACCTGCACAATCTTTTTGTCAGACATCCCGGCCACAAAGAGGTTTTGCTTGTCTTCATCAGGATTGAACTTGACACAATAGGGCACTTTTCGATTTGTAAATCTTGATATACACTGTCCTAAACCAGAGTCAAATTAAACAAGAAAAACAAGTTTCACTCCTTCATCCTTCATCAAGTAGTCATTACTTAATGAATCCCTAGGAAGTGCAGCTTGCTTACACTCAACACCAATACACTGGTACTTTTCATAGATTTTTAATGATTCAACACTTCTTTTTCAGGAGTTGGGGAGATGGCTCAATTGGTAAGAATGCTTTCTGTGCAGGTTAAACACTTGGGTTTGAGTTACCAGCATCACGAAAACAATCAGGCATGGCTGTGCACGTCTGCAAACCCAGCATGGGGGGCAGAGACACATGGGTCCTAGGAGCTTCCTGGCCAGCCAGTCTGGCAAACCTGGTAAGCTTTCAGTTCAACTGAAAGGCCCTACCTCAAAGCAATAAGGTGGACACACACACATGCTCACATACACAACTTCCCCAAAAGTAATGTACCTCCAGTTATGAGACAAATTCTAGTTACATCAATGCACAGAATATTTTGAGCAACAGAAAGCATTAAAAGTCATGAGAATGAATATCAGATGTCAAGTTGAGTGATGAGTTAGAAATACAGAGAAATCAAGGTGTGATTCTATCTACAAGTTGTTTAAGAACAGGCAAAGCATCTGTGGTGACAGAACAGTTCTGATGTTGGCGGAGTGGGTGCAGACTAGGAAAGGACACATGAACTCTACAGTTTGCGAGAATGCTCTATGTCTTATCTTGGTGGTGTTTAAAACAAATTTGTAGACATTTACTATTAAAAAACAATCACTGAACACCTGTGCACTTTATGCTTTATATGTATCTTAATTTTTCAGAGCTGTAGGAAGGTTGCATTTTATTTAGCCTTGGGGACACTAGCCTGACAGGAGGGTGGAGTCCAGGTGGGAGTAACTGCCACTCTCCAGATCATGACAATGTACAGTCAGAACTGAGAACCACTACAAACAAGGTGGCTGATGGAGGAAGTCCTTCTGCATGCTGTGAATATATGTTTTTCTTATTTGTTGATGACTAAAGCTGCTTTGGCCAATGGACAGGCAGGATTTAGCCAGGCAGGAAATCCAAACAGGAATAGAGAAAGGTAGTAGGCAGAGTCAAGGAGACACCATGTAGCTGCTGAGGAAGCAAGAGACCTGGGCATCACCAGTAAGCTAAGACTCTGTGGGAATACACAGAATAATAGAAATGGGTTAATAATTAAGAAAGAGCTAGCCAAATAGAAGCCTGAGCCATCGGCCAAACAGTTTATAATTAATATAAACCTCTGTGTGTTTATTTGGGACTAAACGGCTGTGGGATTGGGCAGGACAGAAACTCCCATCTACAGTGAGGAACCTGTGTTGGAGTCAGGATAACCTTAGATTGAACCAACTCTGTCACTGACTAGATGTGTGCTCTCGAGAAATCTACCTTCAGGGTCAGTTTCCTCACCTGTAATATAAGACTAGCACACCGCATAGTCAATATCCAGTAAACATTATTTATTATCATTAACTTGGCAAAATCAAAGGTTTTTTTTTCCTTTTCTTGGTTGTTGTTTTATTTTCAGACTGTGTCTTACTCTGTAACCTAGACTGGCCTCTAACTCCTGGTCTTCCTGCCTTAGCCTCCTGAGTGCTGTGATTGTAGCTATGTACCGTCTTCATTCCTGATTCTACAAGATGTTTTCTAATAATACACAACTATACCATCACAAAGTACCGACGCAATTAATAAAGTCATAGTAAGTAAAACTGACTGGCCCATGTAAGTTCAGATCTACATTAATGATTTGGGCAATTATATTACATTTGCTTTTGGTCTGTGCAATGACTGTACTAGGAGATGCGGAATAAGGAGATCAGTTAGACAGTGGACAGAATGGTTTGTTTGTCCATCATTGTTTGCTGAATAAACGCACAGGTGAGGATGCTTCCCAGGGAAAGCACTGGTGCAGATGAGCCTCAATCTAAGCACACACTGGTGCTATCAGCTGGGTTTCAATACTGAGAAGCAACAGGTAGAGAAGGCATCGTTGCACCAGAGGACCAGTCTTACAGATGTGTAACTCAGGAGAGTAAGCCGCACTCACCCGTCTCTGTGTCCCAGAGTTTCAGGTACCTGTCATAGGCTGCACTGAGGAACTGTGTTCCTGCAGTGTTGAAGCAGATGTCTCTTACGGCTTTACTGTGACCTAGGAGAGCCAACAGAAGCTGTGGTGAGATCAGGTGCTGCCCCTGCATACGTGGTACAAGGGAAGTACTCAACAGTGGGCTCAAGGAAGCTGCCAGTCAGCACGTCCAGCCTCATCTGGTTTACCAGCAATCTGTGTGCACAGGCTCAGGCTCAGGGTGTGTGTGTGTGTGTGTGTGTGTGTTCCTTCAAGATGCTCTGCAGTGGTTCTGCTGCATTACATTTCGTAAGAACAGTTGTGGCATCTTTTAAAATGCAGTGTGCATACTGATAACTAACCAGCTAAGAATTTATTGAGATCTACAGCTCTAATTATTGTCATCCAAAGAAATGAAGCCGAGAATTTGGGGGTTCACTTCCAGATTGCTCACCATGTTGGAAGTAAAAACAAAGTGTTCCAAACTGCAAGTGCAGGAAATTGTAGCCCTTATTCAGTAATTGTACATTTCTGTGATCACATTACTTAATTCCATAAAACTGATGTTAGCTTATTTTTTAAGAGATGTTATTCTGACACTAAATTAATTTCAGGGCCCTGATTATGCTTTACTTAGATGTCAACCTTGCTAGACCAATGAATCTTTTCAAAGTTTTTCAGGCAAATAAAATGTAGTTAAACAAAAGCAGAAGCATGTCCATTTTTCACTATGACCATGACATAGATCATTTCACAAAATGTACGAGGCTCAAATTGTCAACCATGGGCTGTACCCTGGAGCCATCCCCACCACAGAACTCCAGTCAGGCAGGCACACTGCAGAAGCACCATGGCTACAAGCAAATATGAGCATGGAAACAAGCAGGTCCCCATCCCACAGAGGCTGCCGTAGAGAATTCTACTTTTCCCCAGAAGAACTCTGGCATTACAGCTGAGGAAGTGAAGAGAAAGCCTGCTGTATCTGAGGGACAGGCAATGGTTTCCTTTGAAGTCTTTTGTGCTGGCGTGGTATCTCAGTATCTCTTTGCACAGAGCACCCACACCGTTAGCACAGCATGGGAGAACAGACTCCCACTTTAAGCTAAAAACAGAGCCACCGTGGTCCACAGCACTTCATGTGGTACAGTTAAATCTGGAAAAAGTAACAAAAAGTGACAAAGACAGAAAAGTTTGTCAGGCTACACTGGCACAGTCTGTCCTCCCTTTGGTCCACTTCTTATCTTCAGGGAGTTTCCGCAATCCCACTGTTTCTTATGCTTCAGCTGCTAGTCCCAACCTCCTTATAAAGCTTCACCTACGGCTACTGCTTACTGGACATTTTCACAGCTGCTCAGACTCAACAGTCCAAGCTCTATGTTCCCTCCCTTGCTGATGGAACTACCATTCATCTGGCCACCTGGGAGTCATCTAAGGTCCCTGCCATGTATCACTCATATCCTGTTACTAAATCTCATTAAATTCTTCTGTCTCTGTGCTTTAGTTCAAAGTCCCACCATTTTAATAGATTAATAAAATAACTGTATAATTTATTTTCTTACTTCTAGGCTTGTCTATCAAAGTATACTCTGGATTGCAATGTACTCTTTGTAGGCTTTCAATCACATTACTTTCTAGAAAAGGCTGTTAAATGGCCCTTTCCCGCCATTAGGATACACTCTTATTAGTAGCATGACTGGCTCTCCTCACCCTGGCTCCCCTCCACTTTTACCCACCCTTGTCCCTCTCCTATCCCTGGCAAATAGCTATTACACATGGTTCCCCAATGCAGCACACTTTCCCATACCAGTTTTGCTTCTTCCATCCTCACTTCCGAGTTCTCTTTGCCTACCTAGAGAGATTTACTCCTTTGAGTCAGCTCAGTAGACCCATGAATACTTTCCTTCACACAGGGTAATAAAATTACTGTTGCTATCTTTCTTGCAAAAGTTTTCCTAAACAGATTTATAGACACGGAGAAAAAGAAATATTACCAATAAATGTTCTCAGACAGCGCCGGTCTCCATAAACTTCCCATAGCTGGAGGGGAAAAAAAAAAACATATGAAAATATTACTTCATTTCTTTATGGTGTTGGAAATTGAGCCCAGGACCTCATGGACACTAAGCTTGTGCTATGCCAGTGAGCAAAGCTCCTAGCCCTGGGGATATCAGCCTTAATATAAGGCTTTATCAATAACAACATCTTTATAGGCATAATGGATTTAATTATTAACTATTGACTAATTTGCCATTTTGAGTTATACTTTTGGGATATAGATATATACACACATATCTTTATACTTGGAGAAGTTTTTACATCAAAGTATCAAGAGGGTTTAGCTATATATGGAGTTTATCTGGGTATTTTTATTTTCTCACTGCTTTTTTCTCTATATTTTATGAATTTTCCTATGAGTAGTAGATTTTACTTTTGTAACATTATAAACTAATTTTAAAGGAATTAAGTGTTATTAGGACTGTTGTTATGTACCATTTTAATATTGAAAAGTGTTTTCTCATCATATCTAAAGTATATAAATACAAAGCCTTCAAAACTAGCGTCACTCTTGTCTACCTCAAATTCATCAATGCTCTAAGTGCTCTAAGACAGAGCATTTTCTGCCACCCAGTGCCAACCAGACAGAAACCTCAGGTCCTGTACATGACAGACAAGGACCTCTGGGATCCGCTCCCTTGCCTGGGACTGCAGTTTCTTTTTTCCTCGTGTATTTTATGCCCTGGCAACCACAAAACTGCTGTAGGTTTCAGTATTCTATGCAGCCTTCTCAAGCATACTCCACTCTCCCTGTCCCTGTCTCTTTCCTTGGCCTTCTTGCTCAGGCATGCTTCCACTGAAGACAGAATGTGCTCCTGTGTCTGCCTGTGTCATGGTTATTTACATCAACATGAAATGATCATTCCTAGGAGAGTCAGTACTTTCAAACACTTGATATTGTAATACCCCTGCATATAATAGGTACCTACTAAATGTCTCTAGGTATGAGCTAAATTCAACTTTATGTTTTGTTTCTTGATCCAAGGGAATATCATAATCTCAATGAAAGTTAAAGAAAATTAGTTTCTGAGAAACTTCTAATCAGAGACAAAGTGTTTCTATTATAGATAAATGCCTAAATGGCTGTTCCTATCAAACACCGAAGGTCACTGCGGATTAACGATTTGACTCTCCAAGCACAAGAATACAACAGGGTTGGAATTTACTGACCACCGTAATGATCTAGATACAAGGAAGAGACACAAGAAAGACATTTAACTATTCTTTAAAACCTAAGGTTTCAAAGAAGTTTTCTTTATACTAGAGTTGACAAGAGTGACAGCTCATTTTTCCTGCTATGCACTCTCATAGCTGCTAGCTGGTGTCCAAGTGTTCAAAAGAAAAGATACATTACACTGTCTATTCCCTAGACATGGGGTTTCCATCACATATCTTTTCTTCCTCAGTCAGTCTGAGGAACAAACAAACTCAGTTACATATCCATAACCTTGATAAAAAATGCATTATTCCTGATTCAATATTTATGTGCCCAATGCCAAAGTGATTGGATTACATCCTAATCAGTTGTCTAAGCTTTAAAGCGTCCAGCCAATTGGACCACAGAGCCACATCTGAACCTACAAGTTTGGAAGCAGTCCACAAACATCTACATACACAGGGCTGTACAGAAAACAATTAGCCTCTAATTGCCTAACAACCCCAGATTTATTTATGATTATTCAAACAGACTTAACCAAAGTCCTAGCTCTGCAGGCTCATGGGTTACTGAAAACTCACCTTAATTTTACAGTCCATGGAACAAGACAGCAACAAATGTCCCGAAAGCGGAAACAGTCTGACTGCACTGACACCCTGGAAAAAGGCACCTCATTATTGCCCCGAAGCATTCAAAGAGACAGTAGAGTGCAAACAACTTACTTTGCTGTTTTTCTGTATGCTAAACATTGTGCTCTGGAACTGCCTTCATCAGTGTTCCAAGAGGCCTTATCTTGACACTAAGCTATAGAAGGCTTTTTATTTTAGACTTCACATTTTCACTTCCTTATGCTGAGCCTGTCAGACTGCTATGTGCCCACTTCTTTCCCTTCTTCCCTGTGGTTCCCTGTTCTTGGCAAAGACCTGGAAATCAACAGCTGGACCACTGCAGATGACAAAGAATATCAGCCTCTAAAGTTTACAAATATCCCACTTTGCATTCTTTTAAAATAATCTAAATCAAATAATTTAAAACAGAAAACATTGCCTTGGGTTAGAAAGCCAGGAGCACCTCCCCTCCGGCGTGTAACAACCCCAGAAGCCAAGCAGTGTTACTGAGGCTAAGCAGCAGGCTCGGTGCCATCTGCCCATTACCCACTGTGTGCTGCCAAGAGGGAGCAGATGGCAGCAGGAACTTGTGGGGAAAGAAACAGGCAACAATGTGGAGGACGGATGCTGACCTAGAAAGCTGTGTCATGCGCAACCTGGATGGCCTTGAAGACTGTTGAGTGACCATCCCACACAAGGCTCTCCAAAGCCTCTCTCACATTTACCCTGCATTTGATGCTCCTATTCTGTCCTGACTTCCCTGTGTCAACGGCTAAAGCTCTACACTACCTTCCCTTTGTGTTTTATAGTGGGAACAGTCAGCTGCCTTACCTTTGTGTGTCCAGACCACACATGAATTTGTTTTTTGGGAAGATAACATTTTTCAGGCGGCACAGACGACCGTAGATTAACACCAACATCCTGAGGTATGTGAAGGTAGGACCTGCCCTGATAGTCATACATTTCTTTAACTAAAACAAAAAAGCAAAAGAAAGCCATAAATAAACAAGCCACAGTTGTGAAATCTGTATTATTATAGCAGCAACAAATGCATAGGTCTACTGTCCATACTGATACTGTGGTAATAACATGCTGATGATGTTAGATGCTAAGATCATGGGTTGGCTAAAATTAAGCTCCTAGAATCCTTGCTATCATTACAATGAAAGGTAGTATTTCAGAATTTCTAAACACCCAAGACCTCTCTCACTCTGTTATACATCTCAGTAATAAAGATTTCACGGCAATAGTTACAATGCGGGACCAAAAGATAAACCGTGGGTCACTGCTAAAGAACCAGAGGAGAAACAAGCCAAGACGGAAGGGAACAAGGAACAAAAGTTAGCTCTTCTTTTCTCCATCTTTCTACTTTACCATCTGCTTCTGTTACATCTGCCTTTCTCCATTATCACTGCAAACTTCACAAGAAGTTACACGGGCAGCTTAGACCACAGCTCATACGGCCACAACAAAAGGATTCTGCAAAAGCCCCGACCACATGTGAACTTATAATCAAATGTATAAGGAATCTGAGGTCTTTCCAGCTGGGCTGCACTGTGCGACTCCTGCAGCTCTACCAAAGCCTTGAACACACTACATGTGCACTCTGCATTGTGCATGCTGTCTGTCACTCCTGTAGACTGCTTAAAGAACCCTCAGCTCACATATATTACTGTGTGCTATATATAAATTGTGGTGTTCTAACTGTGCAAAGCTCTGTGCTTTGTAGACACATAATGGTTTAGTTTGAAAAAAAAGACCTTCAATTTCCCTACAATCATTCTTAGCACATATGCATTGAATTAGTGTACCTTTGTACCGTGTTTGTTTGGTTTAAAAAGCTGCTATTTGAGTGGCTGGTTTGAGCTTCATTAAAAATTACTAAATGAGTTCTGGCTTAGAATTAGAACAGGATTTCCAACAATTTCTGAAATGGCCCTAAATATTTGTCTGCCATTTTGGACTATGTATTCATGCAAAGTGGTATTTTCAGCATTGATTATAAAATCAAAATATTGATCAACTCTGAAAAACAAAATGCTCTCTACTTCCTGAAGTATCAAATATTCAACCAAGATTTATTTCTTATGTAAAAATAAATAAGAACATTGATTTCTTTAGCATAAAAACATATTTTCCTGTTTAAAGAATGGTAAAATTTAGCCAGGCGTGGTGTCACACACCTTTAATCCTAGTACTCGGGAGGCAGAGGCAGGTGGGTCTCTGAGAGTTTGAGACCAGCCTGGTCTACAAAGTAACACAGAAAAACCCTGTCTCAAAAAAATTAAAAAAAAAAAAAAATTTATACACCAAAATTTAAAAATGTCTTTAATTAATTATCAGGTAAAAGTTTACTATGCACACCAGTTTTACATACCTACTATATACACCAAAGGTCACAGAGGTATTTCTCAGTTGAGAAGGAACATAAGAAGAAAAAATTTAAGCAGCGACTTAAATAACAGAGTGTATCTACAGAAGCTGGCAGCATGCTGGCACAGGATAGGTGCTCCCTAACGATGCCAGTCACTGCTCATGGTGCTCCCTAACACTGCCAGTCAGTACTCATGATGCTCCCTAACGCTGCCAGTCAGTACTCATGGTGCTCCCTAACACTGCCAGTCAGTACTCATGATGCTCCCTAACGCTGCCAGTCAGTACTCATGGTGCTCCCTAACACTGCCAGTCAGTACTCATGATGCTCCCTAACGCTGCCAGTCAGTACTCATGGTGCTCCCTAACGCTGCCAGTCAGTACTCATGGTGCTCCCTAACGCTGCCAGTCAGTACTCATGGTGCTCCCTAACGCTGCCAGTCAGTACTCATGGTGCTCCCTAACGCTGCCAGTCAGTACTCATGGTGCTCCCTAACGCTGCCAGTCAGTACTCATGGTGCTCCCTAACGCTGCCAGTCAGTACTCATGGTGTAGCACCACACCACTACCAGACTGCTTACACATAAAACTGAAGTTTGTGAAGCTAAACGTGGCTTCCTGAAACCTAAGTACTTGATGTGACAAAGCCTCACGGACAGTACTGAACTATTCTCTAAGCTGGTCATGACTATGAAATTCCCTAGCCATAACTAACTGGTAATGAACAGGTACATTATAGTGCATTTATGAGTCTAGTAATCTCAAATCTACTCCTATGGAAAAGAGTTTATTCTGTGAAAGTGAAATGTCATATATAATGACACATGAATATGAAGTACCTAAGATATCAACATCATTTCAGGAAAGCACTTATGGACCATTCAAGTTTCTTCTTATTCTTTTTTAGAATATCCACTGATACACGAAAACTATCTGTGCTTATCTTTATCACACCACATTTCCTCTTTCATTAGTATAAAGTCTATGGTGACTCCTGTAGGATGGAAATGGTTCTTAATAGCAGCTGACAGTAAGAACAACTGGTGTTATACGGAAGGAAAATAAACACAATAGATTTTCATGACAGTAAGGACATGAATACTATTACCATGTAAGATTGTCTTCTCCTCCCCAGGTCTCTCCTCTTCCTGTTTGCCTTTTTTCTGCCTCTTTGCTGTGATCTCATCCAATTCCTTTTGTTCTTCCTAAGGAAACAAAGACGTGAACTTCTGAAAATCTCATCATGCCCACTGTTGGTCTATATATTATAGAGAATATATATTCTCTATAATAAGGTTTACAATATGTCTCTTAGGATAGCAATGGTAACCCTTCCACAATCAGAGATGGATTACCTTTTATACAGATCACAAGATGACATGCCTGGAAATATTTTTAAATGGATTACATATGAAATATATATATATATATAATATATGTATATGTACACATATATTATATATATATATTTCATACTTCTGGAACACCTAGAAATAAATTTAATGTGTTATGCTAATTATGCAAATGAAAAGCCAAGCCATCTGAAAATCTGGTATCAGAGAGTTTTAGAAGTTGTTTTCAGCAAGTTGCTTTAACAACATCAATAATGACATAAGAAACAACTATGGATCTGAGATCAATTTTTTTTGGGAGAGCTGGGGAGG